TTATTACCAGAAGAGGTAGGCTACAACACGGCCATGGAAATTCTGAAATCTCAGTTTGGACGACCACACGACATAATGGAACGTTTGATGAAAGAGCTGCTTACTGGAGACTCTATCCCTCCCGATGACCTAGATGCACTCCGCCACCTGGTAAAGACAATGAACAACTGTGATTTGGTGCTAACTCAGTCAGGGTTTGCTGCTGAGATCAACTGCTCCACCAATATTAAAAGGATCGTCCAAAGACTTTCCAAAGGTCTGCAGACTACGTGGGTGGAAAAGGCTGATGACCTTTTAAGCGAAGTTATTGAACCTACATTTAGAAATTTGATTGCATTTCGTACAAAACGAATATCAGCGGCACTTCCACCGGTTTGCTCTTTTAGAGCATTCCGCCATCCTCAGCCTTATTTTATCTGATACCTTGTCCACCCTGTGTTCCATTTGTAATTTTCCTTTTTCCGTTTGGCCTCTCCTGTACGGAGGATTATGTTGTACATTTGATTATGCCTATACATGCCTCAGGGGGCTCCGTGAAATATACACTTATTATTATAGTTTAAAGCCAGTAGCTTTCATCCTCCATGATCCCGAGGTGTTGTTTGCTGCGTTAGAAACGCAATTTGTAGCATGTAACGTGCCAAGCCATCACTCCAAGAACGTTAACGTTGTCGAGGCGACCCCTGGCGACCGAATGTCTGCCATTAGGGATATCATCCTTAAACCGCCGAAGGAGAACGCATATGACGTTTTGAAGGCAGCAATCCTTAAGTTCTACATTCTCGCTAACGAGGAACGGTTGCGTCAGTTGCTCGCTCGTCACCTCATTGGTGGCACGACGCCAAGAAGGCATCTGGCACGCCTACGCAAGTTAGCCGGCCAAGCAAACGCCAACGTTGACGTTGTCAAATAGTTGTCTTGAGGCATTACCACGCCATGTCCCACTGACGGTAACGGCGTTACTAAAGAACGTCTCGGTCGAGAAAGCTACGTCGATTGCCGACAAAATTGTTGCATGTGTCAGTAATGAGGATAATTTCCTCACTGCCCCAAAATCGCAACCGTACAAGCGGAATGGGGATAGATATACGGTACGGCCTTCACAGCCACGACCACAATGCATACACCACCGCTTGTCCTTCAAGGACACAGTCCGCGTGTCCACTGCAAATTCCTGTACGGCTAAGCCTAGGACCGATCGGGTAGCACCGTCTGTCCACGTTCGCAAAGAGCAACCCAGGGCTCAGAAGCCACCCCCACGCAACTCATCAAAAGCCCTGGATGAACCCTCCGAGGGTTACTGTCGGTTCCATCTTAGCTATGGACCAAGAGCTCGCAGTTGCAGGAAGCCCTGCACCTACGCGACGAGAAAAGAGTAAGCCGGCGAGTCAAGGCGGCCGTACTCGCCGCCCCGCCTCCCCAGGTTGACCGTCTGTTTTTCGTACGTGAACATCACACGAACGCTAGAATCCTCGTAGATACGAGAGCCCAAGTTTCACTCTTTTCTATCAGGAGCAGCAAGCAAAGAGCCACGACGATTTATCTATGCGCTGCGACTGGCATTCCCGATCCAACGTTTGAACAAGACCACCAACGGTGTATTGCTCGATCTGTGAAATTCCTTCCTGTAAAGCCCTGTCAATCTATCTCGGTTCCACATTTCATGAATTTCACACTCCATTCACCTGACACCATCCGCCTCATACATGCATAAACATTTGACTTTGCACTCCCTTGGTATATTTAAACATCGATCCTACCATTTGACTTTGTTTGTCTATCTGCTTCATTCGTACCCTACTTGTTTTAATTGCGCAGTGAGCGCTCACATTTGGCTGGTTCGTGTGCAGCGTGACAGTGAGCGTACTTTTCTTATCCAGGCTTTATTTTCTTCCGTTCAGATTTGTTGAATTACGCTCACAGTAACACTTGGCTCTTGTTTTCAAGTTGTTTCGAGATCACTTTGAGGTTTCTACATATTTGTTTGCTTATTTGATGGTGTGTTAATGCAGTACCGTAGAAACTTGCTGGATTGTTCGTTTTGTTGACGTTTTGGGATCCGATTTCGGCTATGCGTTACTCGTTGATCTATTCAGGATAAACACATTCCTACCTCTGTGAACCATCTGGTCTTCGTGGCAAATGCTGATCGGGGAGCAGTGTTCACTTTGCAACCTATTTCTAATCAGTACACTGGTGGAGCTTCAAAGCCTGATCAGTTGAACACAAACTTTACAAGTAGAAACCTATACTAGGTGTTCGCCGATATTTTTCATCGTTTTAATCCGTCCCCCATATCTACTCGTCTGATCCACCTCATGTGCGTGGCAAATGCTGCACAGGGAGTAGTGTACACAACGGTACGTACCCCGCGCGCGGTTTGAATTTTAACGTGCTCTCTGCTACAACCTGTTTTTAATAAAATAGTGGAATATCTACCGATATTTCAATGATTATACACTGCCTTGGTTAAAACCAAAGTACCTTTTACAATTCAGTGACCAATCACAGGTCACTCAGTTTTACAGGGCTCGTGGTAGTTTTTCGTTTTGCGTAAACAGTTGTTTACTGGTTACTGTTTTTGTGGCGTACATGTGTTCTTTTTTTCCATTGTTCCAGTTTTGAGAGTAGTCATTTTATCGGTGTTAAATTTTTAAATTTTTCCACCTTTCAATATCTGCTCGGAATGAAGTGAATGAGTGTGGCGGCTGTGGAGAGTTTATGGCCGAGGGTATCCAATGCGAACGATGCCATCTCTGGTATCATAAACGCTGTAGTAAGCTGACGAAAAAGTGCTGCGACCAATACACAATACATAGTTCCCTGCGATGGATCTGTGTCCACTGTATAGCGTTGATAGGGGAATACTCACGCATCCCCAGGGACAAAGCGGCGGGCAACACCAGCCAGCCGGATCAGATTAAGGAAACGAAACCTCAGGTGCCCAAAAGAAACAAAACAAAGAAAGAAAATCCAAAAGAAAACCGGGAACCAGATGCCAACACGCAAGGAAAAACTACCGCAGTAGCTCAAGAGAGG